GGTTATCAAATTTTGAATGATTACCTGAAGTAGAAGTATTCTTACTTTATGTTGCATGTTAAGTCATTTCCGGACTGATTCTAGAGTGTGAGGATTTGCATGTTGAAACTGATGTGTACTGTAAAATGGTTAATAACAAAGTTGTAGAAAATTTGATAAGCTTTCCAGAAAGTCCAGGATCACTGGATTTGGATTTGTAGAACTCCAGTTATGAGCGAAACAAGTAGATACTGTTTATGGCATAGTCGATGCTTTGTAGAAGTAGTTAAGTAGTAAGCGAGAAGAGATATGCACCTACTCAAACAACGTGATGCACTTGTTAACATATATGCATTCGTAATACTTATACCATACTCATGCATCTAGGATCGGAGGAAGAGATCACGTTGTTGGAATTCAAGAAGCGAGAGAAGGAACCCGGGAGGATCCGCAAGCCGTAGCTCCCAAAGGCGTGGGCGAAACCTCAAGAGCTTCCGGAGTGCCCCGACCACCGTCCCACTTCCTTTCTGCGAGGCAAGCCCGAGCATTATAAGTCTCCCGATAATTTACAAATGTTTACTTACGTATTTATGATTGATGCATTAGGTTATAAGAGTTGAATGAAACCACTTGATGCATGTACATTCCTTGTCCGGATATTACACCTTTAACCGGTATAGGTCCGTGGATCGAATATATATATGCTTAGCCATGCTTAGATCGGTAGAAGTCGGGTGATGTCCTGTCACCGCGAGATATAGGTGGATACCGAGCACGGTTGGCTATATATCGCTATCGTGGAACAGAACCATGAGGTAAAAGTAAATTGAGACCGGACGGGAGATCGATAGGGAAGCAACAGGGCATGGAGGTCTTGGGTGTGGACTTATCCCGTCTGTGTCGATTAAGGACCGTCTGCTTGTTGGCGCTTCGACAAGATTGAACGCATGCCTCTCACTTAGCTGGCCGGATAATTCGTTCCGACCGCGGTTTAGTAATTCAACTCGGGCCGAATCGCTTCATTATGCGCGCCTTCCGGGAACGATCGACCGAGCCCAAGGGCGTGTTTGGCTCGAGCATCCCGGCATCTGGTGTTCCAGATTGCGCGCGCGACTGAACCATGAAATGTACCGAAGTTGTACCAAAGGTGACCTAAGACTATCGTGGTTTGGTAGATCTGGGTTTGTGTTAGGAATAAATTCCCACCGGTTGAAATCGATTCAATCGCCGTCTCTCCTGGATAGTGAGAAACTTGGCTAGTCCCAACATCGTAGCAAAATATATTATGAAACATGGTGGTTCGGATGAATATGGAATTACAATACCGCTATGGTTACTATTGTATGCTTCTAAATGATATCCCACATGTTTGGCACGGATGATAGTTGCTAATCTAGAAATGGATAGTTATAATTAACTTGATAAAGGAATCATAATTTTCAACGGGTAATTGCCTTTTTTCGCAAAATGTGTTGTCAAGTTACATCCACTTATACAAACCTTGCATGATCCTTGGAGTCATTTTATTTCTGGTTCATGACGGGTAAGTCTAGTGAGTACCTTCTCGTACTCGTGGTTTATTTTCCCATTGTTGCGAGATGGCACTTTGTGTATCATGGTTATTGCAAGAGTTGCTTCTATCCCGCTGTAGATGAGGAGTAAGCCTTGGGCAGGCTTCCTTAGTAATTCCTATCTTTGCTTTTGTGGATCGTGATCTGGCATGGCACTGTATCAAACTATGTTGGAAACTTTACCCTCGAACTTATTTGCTTCCGCTTTAATTATCAAACTCGGTTTGTAATAACTTTTATTCGTACTCTGATGATGAAAAGTATCTGTGAACTTTATGTAATATGTGGCATGTATGTTGAATCATGTACGATCTTGGTTGTTGTAAATCGTTTATCGAGACCCGTCGTGGTACTCGACGGACTACCGGGTTTATATGGGTTCAAGTATGACAGTGCGACCGCTTGCGGATTGCCATTGTACTTGTATTCTTATAAATTGGTCGGTTCTGCGACATTAAACTAGGGCCGAATAAGAAATTTTACTTTTAGTTGCAAATTGCTGTTGCATAAACAACAAACACAAGTACTCCGTAAATAACTTACCTTGTGTCAAAATTGCAGCTGTTTTTTTTTGCTGCTGTGGGCTAGATTGAATGAAAAATACTACAAAATATTGTATTATATGTTTATATAAATAAGCATACATACATATATACATATGAGTGTCAAAATAGTTGCCAAGGAATACCCTTGGATCCACACGTGTACCATTATAACGGATGACGACTCCTAGGATAGCGCTCTTAGAATTGACGCTACGGTTTTAGCAGCAAAGAGGGAAAACGGCTACAAAAATACAACTTTTGCTCGCGTGGCACGTCAACTCCCCACGTTAGCATGAATCTGAGTCAGCGGGACTTGTGAAATGTCCCTCCTGCCCCTGCCCTCTCCGTCTCCACCCTCTTCCTCTCCACCCACGTGACGCGCATTTCGTCGAACACTCTCAGGGCGAGCACCGCGCACTCTCGCTTGGAGTAGGCCCTGATCAGCACGTTGTAGCCGTGGGGCTGCAGGTCGGGCAGGCTCTCCTGCACGTTGCCAAGCTTCGGCGCGTGCTCCGCGGACAACAGCGGGACAACACGCGCCCCTTCTAGCTTGCACAGGTGGAGCGACCGGGCGCGCACGCCCTGTCTAGCGCAGTCCACGGACACGGAGCAGCCGATGACGTGGGCCTCGTCATGCGCACAGCTCAGCTTGGCATTCGACACGCTGCACGACCTCCCCTCCACCGAGCTCCATCTGCATGGCACCGGCTTCGCTCTACAGGGGTCGACGGTGGCGGCGGCGCCTGTGGGTGCACGCGGCGGATGGCGGCCATCGATGATCTCCTCCACCTGCACGGCACCAGCGTGATGGCCGTGATGCTGCTCCTGAGGGCGCTGACGCGGCTGTCCGCGCGCGTGCGCGGTGCGTGCGCAGCGACGGCATGGGGCGTCTGCGCGGCCAGGGATGCGGCGGCGGAGGCCGGGCAAGGCTGCCTGCGCGCGTTCCCACGACAGCTGCGGCATCGTCTAGCTCTCCGTCGAACTCCTCGTCGTCCACGGCAGCAACCACGCAGCGACGAGCTCCTGCCCAGCGTGTGCATCCTGCACGCGCGTGGTGACGCTTGTGGTTGTCGAGCAAGAGCTCAACGCGAACAACGGCGTTGTCTCCTTGCGCTCATCGTCGAGCACATTACGGCTACCATTGCAGTCGTTCCATATGACGAACAGCACAACACACCCACGCCCGGGGTAGGCCCTGCACCCGGAGGGGAGACCTGCTCACGACGCCGCGACACCACCAAGCAGCCCGCCGCTGTGCCGGAGACGGACGGACCGCGGGACACCGTCGTCGAGGAGCGCTACGCAGGTCTCCCGCAAGCACGACTTCACCATGTCGGGCTGCCATCGTCCGGTCCTCACTGCCTTTTCTGCTTTCCCCCACGAGTTGTGGCGACGTGATGAATTATGCTTGATCCGGTTAACAATTGTGCGATCTTCAAATGCTTTTATTTTTTGTGGATATAATGCATTCTTGCTTTGGAGCTCATCATCCTACTTCACGCATAGGAGTGGTAAAGCGGCATTGCCTTGTGCTGAAGTGTGCTACTGCAACACGGCGCGAGAGCCCTGCGGCAGCGTAGAGCCCTGCGGCGACGTCCTGATGCAGCATTGCTGCTGCAGCGTGGGGTGAGTGACCTGCGGCTGCGTGGACCGTGGGGGTCTGCGGCGACTCGGCCAGCAGCGGCGTGGAGGCGTGTGGCAACTCGTCCCCGGCGGCGCGGCGGGAGGAACAAGTGGGTCGAGTGGGAGATAAAGAAAGACACTAGGGGCAGGGGCGGTCATTTGACATAGGGTTGCTGACTCAGATCTGCGCTGGCGTGCCACATGAGTAAAAGTGATAATTTCGTATTGTTTTTCTCTCTTTGTTGCTAAAAACGTAACGCCAGTTCTAAGAGTGCTATATCAGAAGAAGTCGTTATACGTTATAACGGTAAAAAGTTAAATATCCCCGACAATGATATACTAGTAGTATCGCATATACCATTCCATACATACTGTGTTTTGATGGGTAGTATGTATCCGCAAATACGTATCCGCAAACCGCCTGTTTATCTATATTGTGAGCGGTTCAAGAATTATACTCATGTTTTTTCGCCTAAATAAAAGCTATTGATAAAACAAAGGGAACCATTTATGATAAAAGCCTTCAGTAATTCTCCATAGACCATAGATCTACCTGATCCGATGGTCACGTTGTGTCGCTGGCATTCCATTTGCCTAGGACGCCATGACAGCCGTGTTCAGCGTGAACGTGGCACGTGAGCCGTTGATATCAAGGGCCGTTGCTACTGGAAGAATATTATTCACCACTAATAGAAGAATTAATATGCTAGTTAATATCTCGATTAATCAAGCCGCGTATATATACCCGCCGGAAGCGAAGCCGCGGAAAAAACACTGACAGAAAGAAATAGAGAGGGGACGCTGACGCAGACGGGGAAGGGGAAGAAGAGGGAGAGGGAACTGGGACTTGCCGCCCCCGCCTCCGCCAAATTCCCCACTCCTCCGCCACCGCCACCACCCACCCCTCGCTGCGCTCCGCCTCCCGAATCCGGCGTCGCCAAGCAACCCCACTCCTCGTGCCGTTCCCAGGACCCTACCCGACCAATCCGCCCGATTCCCAGCTGCCGGCTCTGTGTCGGGAGCGCCGGAGCAGGGGAGGGGCGGAGGATCGGATCGGCAGCCGCAGGAGCATTGAGCGATGGCTGCCGTGTAGGATGCAGCTAGACTCCGCCGGCCGCTGCCTAGCTGCTGTTGCTGTTGCTGAAGTTCCGATGCTTCGGCCACCGCGATCCTAATAGGAGCGGAGGGTGGACTACCGGTGGAGTGGGCCGGGCGGCTGGTTGATCTCCGTGAGCTCCAGCGCCTGCGCACTGGGAGGTGGTGAGGTGCTTGCCGGAGGCGTATGGAGGAACTTGGGAGGGAGGGGGACTCCCCCGGGCCGCCGTGGGCGCTGAGCGAGTCCTCAGCTTTCCGGGCGTTCGCTGCGGCGGTGGGGGAGCGGGCGGAGGCGTCGCCTTCAGGCCCAGGCAATGGGGATTCCACCCGCTCAAGCAACCTCCGCGCCGTCAGGAAGAGACCTGTACGTTTCCTGCACCTTCCCCTCTCTTGCGGTTACCCAGAGATGCTTGCTTCCTGCTGCCGTTGTACGGCCTTTGCTGAGTTCTCAATTAGATTAAGCAATTCGCAAACGTTGATGCAATTGGGACGTAGTTTCGTGCTGGGCTGCTCGTAGTAAATCAAAAGCTTATAAACTCTTACGACTTCGACTATTCAAATCATCATCGATGCTGCTCCTGCTGCTATTTCTCTTGTTCTTGTTGCTTGCACGCATAGTTCAAGCAACTATGGTTTGACCAGGTCGTATAGTGTTTTCACTCAAATTGTAATTTGACTCTTAATCCCGTTAAGTGCAAACTTCATGCCTCCTAACCATATATTTTGTATGCATCTTATACAAATTTCGTTTGCACCATTGTATTATAAGTAGTACAGAGTATTTACTAGCTTCATGTTTTTTACTCTCTGTTCTAGTATTGTTGTAACTACCACTAGCGCAGCAGAACATGTTCGCTTTTAATTTGATCATAAGTGATATGGAGACAACTTACATCATGCAAGGATCCTTGTTATTGTTAAGTCAAAAGAATCTTTCTTTAGGTCGTTATGTGTTTAAATTATACAGACCTGATTAGAGGACACAATGCTGTAAGGACATCCTTCAAGATGAGTGGGTTTGATGCAGCCCATTTTGTCACAGTCGTTCTTGTGTATAATATGCACCTCTTGTGCATGTCTCCGATGAGTGATTGTCTACTCTAAACTACATTTGTTTATTCATGCAGTTTGTTGCAAGATTAACCACAGACATCATCCAAACTTTTGAAAAATGCAATCCTGAGTTCAAGTACTCAGAGTCACTAAACCCCAAGCGCTTTCTCACCAATCCTGCAGTTCCTGTTCACAACGATGGTCTTGACAATGCAAATTCTGATCTCATATTGTATGTCAACCTGGAACTGGTTAATAAAAAGTCAAGCCAGAGGTTAGTTTTCTTGTCTTTACTGTTTATAAAGTACCAAATTCTTCCATTTCACAATATAAAGCCATTTGCTCAGCAGTTTTCATTTCACAATATAACTACTACTACTACTACTTTAATGATGTGTGAGAGATAGGTGGTTGTACTATACCATATAATGGATGCATGTGTGTTCACTGGCCATCAAGTTTCCCTTAAACTTAATGCCTCCTTATCGTATTTGTTGGGGTTATGGACTAATGTTTTGAAAGAGTGTGTAATATTCTGGAATTCTGTGTTCATTTTTTATAAGTAAAATTTGCTTGGGTGAAGTTGATTTTCATATATATTTGAGATCTGTTTAGACAAGCCTTGATGAACCCAGTTGTTTAGTATAGTTGGGCTTTCACAATGTTTAGAATCTTCTTCATGGGGCTTATATGATGAAGCTTCACTGCTCCACTACTATTTGACATTTTACATTTCAGAAGAGTTCAGGATTTTGAAACTACTCGTTGTATTTGTTGGGGTTATGGACTTATGTTTTGAAAGGAGTGAGCATTATCTATTTTTTCTGGTAATTTTGTGTACATTTTTTACAAGATGAAATTTGCATTGGGTGAAGTTGATTTTCATATAATATTTGATAACAATTGGACAAGCCTTGATGGACCCAGATGTTTAGTATAGTTGGACTTTCACAATGTTTGGCTTCTTTTGATGTGTGGGGCTTATACGATGAACCTTTACTGCTCCACTACTATTTGACATTTTACATTTCAGAATTCAGGATTTTAAAACTATGGACATCATTAAAATAGTCCAAACTTATTTTGGTATTCGTGAATTAGGTATGTTGTCCAAGAAATGCTTGGCCAAGGTACCTTTGGACAGGTTGCGAAATGCTGGGATGCAGAAACTAACAATTATGTTGCAGTGAAAGTTATAAAGAACCAGCCTGCCTTTTACCAGCAGGCTATCATGGAGGTCTCTTTGTTAAGATTGGTATGGTACTCTACGTTGCAAGTTAGTATTTACTTTTACTGGATGATTGCAAAAATATGAATCACACTGTGACTATAATATCACCTGCAGTTAAATGAGAAATTTGATCCTGATGATCAACACCACATTGTCCGGATGCTGGATTTTTTCCTCTGCCAAAACCATTTGTGTATAGCCTTTGAAATGCTCGGTAACAACCTGTAAGATAACTTTCATTTAACTTATCTTCATCAATCTAACTATCTGCACTAGATTTGATTCATGTGGTGAGATAAACCTACATTTTTGTAGGTATGAGCTGTTGAAAAGGAATAGTTTAAGAGGTTTGCAAATGAAATATGTTCGAACTTTCTCAAGACAGGTGTGTTGTCATTTTAATATGTTGATTGGATGTCTAATGTATCTGTTACAATATGTGATGTGTATATTCTTTCAGATATTGGATGCCTTGATTATCATGAAAGATGCTGGCATTATTCATTGTGATCTAAAACCAGAAAACATCCTTATAGCTTCAACGTGAGTTAATTTGTCTCAATGTCAGTGTTGGCGTTCATCAATCCTGTAGCCTGATGACTAAGTGGTGATTTTTGCAGTGTAAAAACAGCAGCTGGAGTGAAAGTAATTGATTTTGGATCAGCGTGCATGGAGGGTAAAACCATTTATTCATATATTCAGGTTTGTTTGAACCCACTCAGCAGTCTGAATTTTATGCTATAGTAGTATTTTATCTATTTCAAGTCAAGCTTCTACTGTTTCCTTTTTCAGAGCCGTTATTACAGGTCTCCAGAAGTACTTCTTGGTTATCCGTATCCTGTGTGTCATCTCTACAATCAGATGCATTATCTATAGACTATAGTTACACAAGCATCTCATAATGCTTTTGCTTTTGTTAGTCTATGTTGAAGCCTCATTATGATTTGTGGCTTTGTGAATTTTAACTTGTCAACTTGTCAACTTGTGCGCTTAACAAATGCCAGATATACTACTGCCATCGATATGTGGTCATTTGGCTGCATCGTTGCTGAGCTGTATATAGGGCTGCCTTTATTTCCTGGTGCATCAGAATATGATGTTCTTTGCCGTATGATTGAGATTATTGGGTTAGTGTTTCCTACTGAAAAATTAACCCCTTGGTTTTAAGTTCCATTTGGTTATTTTTGTGTGTGAATCACCTATACTGGATTAGGTGGTAACTGTTTGGGCTCTTTCACTTTAATTAAGAAAACTCGAACTCCATAAAAATCTGCTTTCTCAAAATTCAATTATAAACAGTGGGCAACCACCAGATGATCTGCTACGTGAGGCTAAAAACACTGGGAAATTTTTTTAAGCATGTTGGAAGTATCTTTCCTAGTAGTGAGGCTCGGAATGGCGCTAGCAGTGCATACAGAATTTTAAGTGAAGATGAGATCGAAGCAGTAAGTTTAATGGTTTTCTTGAAGTTGTCCTTATGGTTTTGTCACTACCATGCCTTATTCATTACCATCTATGACCTGGTTGCATCCTTGAACACAGAGGGACTCCAAGAAGCCGAAGGTAGGGAGATGGTATTTCCCTCGTGGAAGGCTTGACAGACTGATATATACATACCCTTGGAAGAATTTGAGTGAGGAAAACTTGCCAGGTTAATACTGGAATCCTTGCTTTAGTGCTGTATATGTTCCCAGAGATTAGTGTTTCTTCGTCACTATTTTTTGGTCCACCCAATGTTTATTTCAATAAGCATCTCTCTTGCACAATAAAGATTCCATATTGAATTAATCTAATGGCACTTCCATTTTTTTAGTTTGTAACAACTCACAGGGGATGATGACATGGAGGTCTCTCAACCTTCAAAATTTATATGATACTGTAGCATAACTATTTTCTTCAATCGCAGAGCTGGTATTTATATTTATCAGTGACGTCTGCACTAATGCGGATTAGACGATGAGTCTGCAGCTCAGTGAACTACACACTAGTTAGGACCTAACTCCAGCTGCATGTCTCATCCAGATTGTGTGCTTCAGTTGAATATGCTTCATGAACTGGACAAATTACATGGACTTATAATACTTGCATGTACTGGAGTTATGTAGCACATTTGATGCTTTATTAATGGGCCACTTGCATTCATTGCAATGATGAGTGCAAATTTCTTGAATGAAAAGTGCCATACCCATGTGTTTTTTTAAAAAAGCAACAAACTAATCATAGTTTTCGTTACAAAGTTGAAAGTACCACTATATATTCTCACTTCTTGCAAATTCTGTTCAGAGACAGAAAAGGCTGATTGCTTGGCATTGGTTGATTTCTTGAGAGGACTTGTTGAGTTTGATCCTAATAAGAGATGGTCCCCGCTGCAGGTATTTGCCAATGACACCAGTACATTTTCGTTTTTGTGTATAATATTGTCTTTGTAAAATGGAAAATATTTCAATCCCGATGCCTCTAAACTTTTATTACTTGGTTTCTATGGAACTAATTTGTATCTCGAATAATCGTTGGATGTTCTTCACAAATGCTAAAACCTATTTCAGGCCTCATATCATCCATTCATCACTGGTGAAGCCTTCACTGGTCCTTATGAGCCTGTCCAGGAGACCCCACGAATTGTAAGTACAGTCTTAATCCAGAGTCCAGATTGCTTGCTGCATGAATTTTCTCACATCCTACTCCCTCCGTATCGGTAATTGAGGTCGTTTTACGGGTGACATCGTTTGCACAATTGAAGTCATTGTAGGTCTTTTAACCAGGTTTTGGACGCGACTGCCCCCGGACTCTTCGTTTCCTATCGCGCTCATTCATTCACGGGAGCAATAAAATCGTGCCCTTTTAGTTGTGGTCCCCTGCGCTCCCCCTTCCTTACTTGTTCGCTCCATGCATGGTCCATCCGCGACAACGCCGGCGGCATCGCGGAGATGGCCGGCATGCTCCCTCCTCATCAAGTATTGGCCGAGCAGTCACACAAAACCATTATCATCTTCTGGTGGCAAGTTCAAATTCAAACCAGCAAACACTTCATTGTCATCTAGTAGAGTGGCACAAGAACATGTACACTTTGACTTCAAATAATGGATGCATGCATCAGGAACCCAGTGTTGCTAGTCGGTAGATGCACGGCAATGTTCCAACGGAGGCGTTTAAATAGAACAAGCAAGTAGTAACCCAAACGTCAGATCAAATGAGCGCCAAAAGAAGAAAAAATCGAGCGGTAGTGAACAGATCGATCCTAAATTCGCGCCATGTGAGCGCCAAAGGGGGAAAAATCTATTTATGCGCGCCATGCAAGCGCCGAAGGGGAAAAAACACAGTGCCACGCAAAAGCGGGGGGATATATGCCATGCAAAATTCACGCGTCAAGCAAAAATACCGCGTTGGGCGGTCGCTCCAGCTGCGAATGTTTGTTGCATGAGAGATACCCGCAATCCTATTTAATAAAGGCAAAAGGGCGTACCCAGTGCAGAGAGCTCCCGCTCTGTGCGGGGTCTGGGGATGTCAGTGGCAAGCCTTACCCTCGCTGTGCAATGCAAGGAGACCGCGACTCGAACCCGGGACCTTCCGGTCACAGGTGGTAAGACTACCGCTTACACCAGGCCTGCCCTTCCTTGGTATGCTAAATCCTGTCCAAAACGACCTGAATTACCAGTATGGAGGGAGTACTTGTTTTGAGATAAAGTAGATTGCTAGTAGCGGATATGCTCCAAAAAAGCATGGGAGATAAGTTAGTAAGTATCTAGTTTGTAAGTCAAGCATCTTATGTCTTTTTTTGTGCTGTAGCCTGTTGGTCGTGCTGCAGTAGTTGACCACAATCCAGGAGGAGGTCACTTGCTGGGTGCTGGTCTTTCTCCTCAGGTTGCAAGTGTTTTCTCTCATGCTTCTGTTTTGTTGATAAGTTGTAAGATATTCCTGTGACATCTTATTATGGCATTTTTTAGGTTGGAAGCATTAACAGATGCCTACGATTTAACAATGCTTTGCAACCAAATATGCCTTTTTCATATGGAAGCAGCTGTGGCAGTTTTGGTAGCCATGGTAGCTTTAATGATAATGCTGGCTTCAGCTATGGAAGCTATGATTTTAACAGTGTCAACATATATAATTCGCCGATGGATCCTTCTGGGTTTAATTTACGTTCACAACTTGGAGGATCGTTTCTCGGATCTAGTCCGGATATTCGACGAAGACCTCATCTCTCACATGGTGGTGGCATTCGGTTAAGTCCTGGTGGTCCAGGGCATATGTCTCTTGGGGCCAGTCCATCACAATTTACACCGCCAAATTCCCAGATGCAAATCCCAATAGGTCCTAATGGAAAGTATGGTGCCTCTCCTTCAAGAGGTGGACATGGCTCCTCGTTGGGAAAGGTTGCTGCTGTAGGCCAATACAATAGGAGGAGGAATCAGGGTTATCCACCTATGCCAGTGCCACCACATGAACACACATCTCAACTGATCCAGGGACACCAAGGAGATGGTGTCAGTACTGCTCGCTTCGATGCATATGGCCGAGGAAATTCTACGTACCTACGCAATGCACTCCCTAATTCTAGTCATTATAGCTGGAGATCTCAAAGGGGATTTGGCAGTGGTTTACCTTTGGACCCTTCTTCTAGTCATGGTTCTTTTCCACCCACCAATTACAATGGCTTTCCTTTACACTCCGATGCGTCAGCAGATACATTGCCCTCCACCTCATCAGTACCAGATCCAGCCGATTGGGATCCCAACTATAGGTAATGGTGCATTTTAAAGTTATTTATTTGAATGTATCCTACAACTTAAAGGTTCCTTTGCTATTATAATGTGCAGTGATGAGTCGCTCCTGCAAGAGGATCATTCATTGTCAGCTGGGTTAAGTGGTCTTCACCTGAGAGATGCAAGTGGCCAAACAAACAGATCTAGCAGATTGGCACCTATCCAAAGTCATGATACTTTAAGTTCAAACCCTTCGCCTTTGAATCAAAGGTATCATAGTAATTTCTTGATGTGATTATTAGATGTGCTCAGGCATGTGTAGCAGAAGTTACCCCTCTTTTGAAAGCTTCTGATCAACAACCAGCAGGCAAAGGGGCCTGTAGCCTAGTGGTTGCAGTGACCTTAGTAGCACCCTAGGTCCTGGGTTCGAATCCCCATGGGAGCGAATTACAGGCTGGGTAAAAAAGGTCACTCGCTGGTTCCCCTGGTCGGCATGGATGAACCGAGCTGTGGTGGGCGGGCCCTCGTGTAAGGGGCTGATAGTGGGTTGGGCCTCAAAGCACGGGTTAATGTATGAGGAGGCCCAGCTTTCATGACCTTTCTTGGCCAGGCTCCGGTTGAGCTCTTCTTAGTGAAATACCATGGGGGTGGTCTTTCCCCCACCGGCCAAGTTTTTTTTTTATCGACAACCAGCAGGGATGCATTAGTGTCATTTTATTTTGCATTATGCATTGATCAAGTATGCACTTATATAGTTTGTTCGCATCTTTAGGAAAAAAAACACAGCTCAAAGTTACCGCCTATATATCTGTGCTGTTGGTTTCTATTGCATCATACCTTGCACCGTTGCATGCCTTTGAGGAACTACCATCATTGAAAATGATGTTTCACATGAAAGTAGTATTGTTTTTCCCACTTCTCATTTAAGTTGCCTGAATTTGTTCAAAGGATCTAGATGCACATTACCATTGTATTTAAGGCAGTTCAAGTGGAGTTGCTGCTTTACTAGTATACATGTTTTTGCTGCAGAAGTGGACACCTATTTCATGCATCATCCCTGGGAGAGAGTACACATACTCCAGGTCATGTCACATTGGATGGTTACAAACATGCAAATTATTCTCAGCAAAGTTTCCCAAGCTATCGTGGACAACCATTTCAGCAGTACAACAACATAACTTCCAGTTACATCCGTCCGACGAGGGCTCATCACAATGGTCAACCTGTCTGGACTAATTATAGCCTGACAGAACCTCCATCCACTACCATGGGTGACGGAATGCCCTGGGGTATTTTTCATGCTTTCATACTTAGGATTATCTTATCTTTGTGGTTGGTATAGCCATGTACTTCGCATAGTTATTATATTTCCTTCTGCTTGCAGTTCTCTTTTTCACCTTTGATCTTAGGCAAGGCATGCTTCAGAAATTTAATTGGCATTATCTTGTTGTAGTCACATCTTAACCAGTTTCGCATTATTGCAATACCTTCACATCTTAACCAGTTTCGCATTATTGCAATACCTTGTAGCTTTTACTTTTAATATTCAGAGGAACGGATGTTGCAGTTTTAGTTGAATCACTACAAAAAAAAAAAATCATAGTATGAATATTCAGAGGAACAGATGTTGCAGTTTTAGTTGAATCACTACAAAAATAAAAATAAAAAAATCATAGTATGTTCGATCCTACCGTTGTGCCTGCTTTTCTATGGACGTGGGACCGGTTCAAAAGTTGTTACTACCTTTGGACCTCAATATCTGATGTCTGACAACTTTTTGGCAGTCAAATTAGCTCCATCCTCCAGTCGGGAATGTCAAATTTTCCTGACCGGAGGGGGTATTGTTAAATGGCAACTGTGACAGTGCATGCAATATTAACTTATACTCACTGCATTTCAAATTGTAAGTCGTTGCGGCTTTTCTAGATACATAGTTTTTATTACGTATCATGACATAATATATATCTAGATGCGTAGTAAAAACTATGTACCGAAAAAAGCTAGAACGGCTTACAATTTGGAATAGAGGGAGTAGGGAGTATGTTAATCGTAGCTTGCTATGCAAATACATTTATTTTCAAGAAGCACATTATATTGTTATATCTTATTCTGCACCAAACTCTTGTCATCCCTATCTTATTCCTATTGTGTATTTATTACTTCCTCTATTCCAAATTATAAGTCGCTCAATTTTTTAGATATACATAGTAAAAGCTACACTATCTAGACATAGTAGTAGCAAAAACTATATACCTATAAAAGCCAATGACTTGTAATTTGGAATTGAGGGTGTATTATTTATATATGTGTTCCAGTTGGCTTTTATTTAAAACTTTAGTAAGTCTTCTCTACATGTCATTCAAGCATAATACTGATGCAAATAAGTCCTTGCTGTGTAGGAGGGAGAGCTGGCCATTCGTTTGCAGCGAGTGGACTGCCACCTACCGTTAGGAAGGATTTTGGAAGGATCTTTTAGTCCTGAATCTGGAGGAGTGCGGAATGCCACCAAATTGATGGCATCAGTTGTTTGCATTTGCAATTCCGGGTTGGATTATTTGCAGGTTGTTGTGTTCCTCCGATGTCTCTCCCAGGATGTTCGATTCAAATGATTATATTGTATGGGATATAATTATAGTGTTCGTTCTTTGCTATACCTGCACGATCCAGTAGAAAGAAGTCAGTTATGCTTCTTGGTACGAATCTTGCTAGTTCGAGGCTTGGGACAATTTTTCTGTCTCGGTTATTGTCTTCTTTTCGCTTTTCTATTTTTTGACACAGAGGGTTCAGAGCTAAGTTCCTGAACCTAAACATGGCTAAGACTGAAGTGAAAGCCACGTGGTCGTGGTGATATGTTTTCTTTTTCGTGAGGCTAGAGGGGGCGACTCAGTTTTTATGCTTTTTCGTTGTTTTGCTACAGCTGGTTTTCTAAGGCGTCTGTGTTCAATATGTTAGAATCTAATATCTCTAGTTATATGCAGCCGTCCTTGAATCTTAAAAAGAATATTGCGACTATGAAACAAGCGTGCACCGTATTATTAATAATAATGTTGTAGAAAACTCTACATGATAGATGTTACACCAACCATGATAGATATTAGAATTTGGCGAAGCAAACGTTAAATTCTATAAGCAAACTTAAAATGAAATTGCTAGCGCCTGACGTCCGATCCGGGCACAGTGTCTGAATGCTCACGCCAGCCGTGCCGGTCTGCGCGCCTGCTCGAGCGTGCTTCACGTGGACGCCCACGCTGCTATGTTTCCCGCACATGCCACATCTGCGTCTACTCTCGTTTTTTGTGCATGTCGCTCGTGCCCCTTTGGTGCCACATGCATGAATGTGGGCCCAGCAACCACAAGCAGGTGGCTGTGACAGATGGGTCCCACTACAACATTTAAAGATCAGATCTACTTTTACAACATACCGATGAAATATTTGCAACATATGTCTAAAGCAGATAAAACATTAGGAATATATAGTTGAAACACCATTGCAACATGTGCAACGTCCTAATCTACTTTTGAAACATCCAGATGCAACACTTGCAACATACAAAAGAACACAGATAAACACTTGCAACATATGTGTACAAAAAACAGATAAAACATTGGGGATAGACACTTGCAATATACGTGTACAACTATTGCAATATATGCAACATATGCAATATCACGATCTACTTTTGGAACATCCACATAAAACACTTGTAACATCCAGATGAAACATCTGAAATACATGAAACATACTCTTGCAACATGTTTTTTCAGCGCGCAATGTTACCTCGCTGCTTAGACGAATCGCGGAACTCGACACCGCCGCAGCGCATGGAGCTTATCGGTGTGCCCCTAGGTGACCTACTCGGCGGCTTGGGTGAGCACCGGCTATCGGTGTTTCGAGTCACCACCGACAAGTAAATTTTTAATATTGTGCATCTGACTCGGATGGTGTGCTTAGAGGACACGAGGTTTTATACTGGTTCGGGCAGAATGTCCCTATGTCCAGTTCATCGCTGCTACTCGTGTTACTAGCACCGAAAGTTTATAGTAGGGGTTACAAACGGACGAGAGAGGGATAGGTCCCAAGTCTCTGGTGGAAAGAGTGAACAGGTGTCGAGAGCTCGGTTGCCGCTCAGCCGTGTGCTTGTGTTGTGTTCTGGTCGGTTCGAAGTTCGATGGGTTCATGATGATTCGATCGGGTCTGGCCTGGATCGATCCAATGTGTTGCGATACCTCTTATGGGACGCACTGCTTTCCCTTTTATAGGACAAGGGAAAGCATAGGTTACAGCGAAGGAAAAAGAAGAACGAGAGAGAGAAAGAGAGAGCCAAAGGCCTTTAGGATCGCAGGGTCCTTCTTCTCCTTTATGCGGGTCCCACCGACCCTGTAGATGTCAACAGGGACGGCTTCGTGTCGCGGTCCTGTCCGTCACTAGCGCCATGCATAGGCATCATATGCCGGTCATGGCGCTCCACTTCGTCCTGGCAAACGTTGTGGTGAGCTGACGCTCCCGTCAGTGTTCGTACGGGGGTTAGGCAGAACAGCACCGGTACGTCCGATGCTGTTTCTTGATGTGAATCCTCCGGTATGGTCCGTCAAGGCCACGGGTTACATCGGGGCATGCCGGTTGCTTCCCTGGTGTCAGAGCTTTGACTCAGGCCTATACGCTTGGACCTAGAGTGGTTGGCGGCGGTATGAGTCTCCGTCGGGAGAGGCGGAGTCCGTGGCCTTGGGGTCGGGCGAGGCGAGCGAGGCGGAGTCCTCCCCCAGAGGTCGAGCGAGGCGGAGTCCTCCCCCAGAGGCTGGGCGAGGCGGAGCGCAGACCCAAGGGTTGGGCAAGGCGAAGCCCGCGGGCTCAGGGTCAGGCGAGGCGGAGTCCTCCCCCAAAGGCCGAGCAAGGCGAAGCGTAGACCCAAGGGTCGGGGGAGGCGGAGCGTAGGCCCAAGGGTCGAGTGAGGCGGAACGCAGACCCAAAGGTCGGGCGAGGCGGTACCCGCGGCCTTGGGGTCGGACAAGGCGGAGTCCTCCCCTAGAGGCCGGGCGAGGCGAAGCGTAGACCCAAGGGTCGGGCGAGGCGGAGCATAGGCCCAAGGATCGGGCGAGGCGAAACACAGACCCAAAGGTCGGCGAGGCAGTGCCCTCTCCCAGAGGTTGGAAGAAGCGGAGCTTGCGCGCGCGCGGGGTCGGTTGGAGCTGTAGTCGCGCTCTTGACTGCTCGGATAAGTCAATGTTGATGGTCATTAGCTCCTCCTCTTCGGGTACCCTAGTATTGGTCCCTGACACCAGTGCGAGGTGCGCGAGCACCTTGGGCAAGCATCTGCATGAGCACCCCTGTGCGTGCACCTGCTCGGCGGCCTGGGCCAGCGCACCCTGGGTGCGGCGGAGGACAGGCATGACGCGGCGGGGGGCGGAGGCATGGGAGGATGGCTGCGGTAGTGCGCCGTAGTGGCCTGGCAGGGTTGGCGGTCGCGCATCGCGCCTAGCTGGCCAACGGCCGAGCGCCGAAGGTGGCTAACGAGCGAATATGAGCAAGTGAGCGGATAGGAACGAGTACGTGGATGAACGGATTTTTTTATTTATAAACAGAGAAGCAGAGGTCTTAGGCTGGCGTGGCGTGGCCCACCAATAGAGCGTATTGGCCGATGGACACCCGTTTCCAGCAATAACAACAATAAAGCCTTTAAGTCCCAAACGAGTTGGGATAGGCTAGAGTTGAAACCTAGCAGAAGCAATCAAAGTTCAGGCACGTGAATAGCTGTTTTCCAAGCACTCCTATCTAAGGCTAAGTCTTTGGATATATTCCATCCTTTCAAGTCTCCTTTTATTGCCTCTACCCAAGTCAACTTCGATCTTCCTCTGTCTCTCTTCACGTTACTATCCTGGCTTAGGATTACACTACACACCGGTGCCTCTGGAGGTCTCCGTTGGACATGTCCAAACCATCCCAACCGGTGTTGGACAAGCTTTTCTTCAATTGGCGCTACCCCTAATCTATCACGTATATCATCGTTCCGAACTCGATCCCTTCTTGTATGACCGCAAATCTAACGCAACATACGTATTTCCGCGACACTTATCTGTTGAACATGTCATCTTTTCGTAGGCCAATATTCTGCACCATACAACATAGCAGGTCTAATCGCTGTCCTATAAAACTTGCCTTTTAGCTTCTGTGGTACCCTTTTATCACATAGGACACCAGATGCTTGGCGCCACTTCATCCACCCTGCTTTGATTCTATGGCTAACATCTTCATCAATATCCCCGTCTCTCTATAGCATTGATCCTAAATATCAAAAGGTATCCTTCCTAGCCACTACTTGACCTTCCAAACTAATATCTTCCTCCTCGCGAGTAGTAGTGCCGAAGTCACATCTCATATACTCAGTTTTAGTTCTACTGAGTCTAAAACCTTTGGACTCCAAAGTCTCCCGCCATAACTCTAGTTTCTGATTCACTCATGTCCGACT